GCTTCTGAATTTTCCAAGAAAATTACCATAAAAGGAAATTTTTTAGGAAATTTAGGATCAGCGGGAAGAGTTTTTTTAAAAAAATTTAAAAATTGTTAAAATTAAAATTTATAATAAAAATATAATAAGTGAACTCAAACTTTTGGAAATAAGCAATTTTATACTATTTTAAAATTTTAAATTAAATTGAAATAGATAAAACTTTTTAGAAAATTATAGAAATATAAATTTTAAAAAAATTAAAATAATTGATAAGAAAAGAAAATAAATTATTATATTATAAAAAATCTTTATAACAATTCATTTTAAAAATAGAAAATCTTTTGATATTTTATAAAGTTTTTTTTTTAAAAAAATAATTTTTTTATTATTGATATTGTATAAAAATATCATTTAATTTTTTTTTATTATTAAAATCAAGTTTTTAATTAAAAATTTTTATAAATAAGAAAAAATAATAGAAATAAATCTTGAAAATATTTCTTAAATTATTTTAAAAAAAATATTATGACTTTATTAATCAAAAAGTCAAAAGATTTTTATTTTATATATAATTAAAAGATTATTAAAAAATTTCTTATTTTACTTTATATTTAATTTCTATTTTTTTAATTTATTTAATAAATTTTAGATTTGAAAAATTTTTAAAAATAATTATCTATTTGTTTATTTTAATTAATACTTCTTTATCAAAAAATTTATATTTTATATTGGTTTTATTGAATTTATAAAAAACCATCTTTAATTATAAAACTTATAGTATATAATCAATAAAATTACTAAAAATGTGCTTAGAAATTTATTAATAGAAGTCTAAAGTTTGGAACGATTTTCTAAGAATTTTCCATATTATTTTCTAACAGGATTTAGACCTGCTTCTATTATCGTACTTTGTTTTATTTTTAGGCGCATATCCCATAATTGGATATCATTGATTGTGCTAAACATAATGATCGGATGTGATCTATGCATACTGGTTATCAAGGGAACATAAAATGGTGATGCTTACGCAACTGTGTCTTTTGCTCTTCCAGACATGTCGAAACAATCCGGTTGGAATAAATACTTTCATCAAGATCAAGGTTATGACACAACTTATAATACATCCCAATCTATACCTCCGTATGAGGAACAGTCGTCCTATCCTGCAAATACTTCGACTCAAAACATAGATCCCGAAAAAGGAATAAACACTGATCCTACCAACCCTTCTTTCTGGGATACTTCACTCAACACCACCTCTACCCCTACTCATCGATCACTTGAGCCCAGTGCTCCGCCCGCGTCCGCGGTCGATTTGGATGAGACGCCGCAAAATTCGACAATAGTAAACACACAATATGGAAGTTTTGAAAGGGAGGAGCCGTATGAAAGTGACGAAGATATGGCCAGACGCATGTTCCGCGAAGAACAAGAAGAATATCATAATAGAATTAGTCGTTATAATTCACCAAATGAATCAGGAAATTATTATGCGGCCTTTAACCAATCTGAAACTCGTAATGCAGGACCACCACCGCCGCCTGTGTTATATAATGAAAAGACACCTGGTTCAATTATTAGTCCATATGTGTCAAAACAAAAAGCCCGCTGGAGACCCTATTTTACTTGGGTCGTCACTGCTGTACAACTTGCCATGTTAATTTATGAATTTATTGATAACAAAAATTTAACAGGAGAATTTATAGAAACGAATCCCTTTAATCCCATGATTGGACCAGGAACAGCGGTGACTACTTCATGTTCATGATTATTTGGCGCTTTTTTTTTTTTTCTTTTTTTTTTTTTGCAAATTAATTTTGTCATCATCTTTATAAATATAGACCGTTATTCAACTAGGAGCTCGATTTGTTCCCTGCATGAAACCAAATGTTACTGGAATTAGCAGCTCCACCTTGTTCAGTTGTCCGAGCAATCAGTCTGGAGGTTGTACTTTGGAACAGCTTTGTGGCCTCGGTGGTTTCAAGAGCGGCCAACCAGATCAATGGTATCGGTTTATCACGCCAATATTCCTTCATGGTGGAATTATTCATTTTGCTTTGAATATGATTTTTCAAGTCTTTACCGGGGCTCAAGTAGAGTCTGAAATAGGATGGTGGAGATATGGTATTATTTACATGGCTAGCGGTATATTTGGATTCATCTTTGGTGGAAACTTTTCTGCGCCTGCAATTCGTAAGTTCTATTGCTGCCTTATTTATTTAAAATTATAAAGTTGGGATTTTAAATTAATTTTTTAAACAAATTATAACAGCTACTTTAGGTGCTTCTGGCAGCTTATTTGGTGTCGTTGGTATTTTACTTCTGGAGCTCATACAAAATTGGGGACTTATTTTGAACCCGTGTTGGGAACTCACAAAATTATTACTCGTGATCATTGTTTCATTTTTGGTGGGCCTTCTTCCTTTTTTAGACAACTTTTCACACATCGGAGGATTTTTGATGGGATTGGTAACTGGATGCATTTTAAACCCGACAATCAACTTATCAAAATTCCACAAACGTGCAAACAAACAATAATAGACTAATACAAAAAAGGAAAACAACAACACGTTTTCAGACAAAAACAAAAACAAATCAACA